TACAGATGTGTCAGTGAGTACAGATGTGTCAGTGAGTACAGATGTGTTTTTAGGAGAGATTTAAAAGCAGAGACTGAGGTGGCCTGTCGAATGTTGATGGACAGATTGTTCCAAAGTCTAGGACCCACGACTGAAAACGCTCGATCTCCTTTGAGCTTCAGCTGGTTTTTGGTACGGCCAAAAGCAGCTGGTCTGATGATCTGATGATCAAAGGCTGCATATATGCCAAGAAACTGTAGCGGTTTTTAAAGAGTACAATATCAGCTGTCACTTTGCTAATTGCTAACTATGCTAATGCTAGCAAGCCTTTCACCGAAGGAGTTTTTAAAATAATGCATGGTAAAGACAGCAGGTCTATTGTGTCTGGAGGGCCAGGACAAATGAGAAAAAATCACTATCACCCAGGACTGTGACTCGCCTTGTGGAACTGATTGATGAAGATATAGCCAGCAAAATGAGTTAAAAGGCAAAATTCTTTTATTCGTTAGCACTGGATGAAAAGATGTAAAGAACTGCTCAGCTCCTAATTTTATCTGCAGGATTAACAACAGTTTTGAGATAACGGAGGAGTTTTTGACCCTGGAGTCTCTGAAAGGAAAAACACAGGGAGAGGAGTTTTATAACCGTCTGCTGTCATCGAGACCATGAAGCTACCGTAAAGTTGACAATGTCACAACGGACAGATCACCAAATTGAAGTGGAAAACATGTTGGGCTGCTGACAAGAATCCAGGATAAAGTGAAAGAGGAAAACCCCGACCAGGATGTTATTTTTCGTCACTGCATAATCAGGAATGGCTTTGTAAGTCATGCTTTTTGTGTGCGTGTGTGAAACTGTTAATTGTGTGTGAATTATCAAACAAAAAACGTGAAAGAGAAAAATGTGTGTGAGAATTATTGTCCAGGTACTCTGCTGTGATTGGATGAGAACTGGCAGCAAAAGAGGAGTGGCAGAAGAATGACGTCGCCTTCCATTCCCAACCTGCTACAGCTGACCTGCTGTCATCAACTTTAGAGCCCGTAGTTGTAAAAAGTTTTGTGAGGAGTTTGTAGAGGTGAGCTGACACTTTTGACTTTTCTCCTTTATTCCATTAGCACAGTGAGGTACGAGACTTGTGCCCTGGTTAATTTAGGGTTAGTCACTAATTTCACTATTGTAAATAAAATCACTGATTTACTGAAAGGCTAAAGCTATAATTAATGAATGTGATGGAAAACTGTCTTAAAAAAATAAAAAATAATTACTTTTTTAAAATCACTGTTCTATCATATAATCCTGACTTAGTGGCTGCTTGAGTGGTGCAGAAGGTGGAATCGCCCATAATTACTTACGTACCGGCAGATGTTATTGCACCGAGGTGTAACATCACACAAACACTCTATCCTGGCCCGGCCCGTCACTTCAATTTTAGAACCAAATGTGGCCCACGAGCAACGTTCCCTCTAAGCTGCGCACCTGCGCAAATGCCCAAGCAAAATATGTGGTTATCTCCCGCTTTATAATAGTCAAAACAGACCTGTGTCACGTGATTTGTGTAGCGACAACAGAAGATTACGAAGAGGTAAAATACTGAACCAATGAAATCACAGACGAACTTTCATTCCAGCCAATCAGCATCTTCTGGAGTTTCAGCGCTGGCGTCTGAAGAAGCCAAGTACCGTAGCTACAAACAACCTAGGCTTCTAGCGCTTTCCCAAACTTTATACTGCATAGTTCATCGCATACTGAGAAATAATATTTGGCGTTGTGGATTTATCACAGAAGTTTACGGTCGCCCGACGTCAAACAAAGGCTGTAAGTAAGCTAATACCACGACTTGTAGCCGTTTTTATCATGGTAAGTGTTAGCAAACAGTAGTGCTCGGTGTATAACTGGATGGTCAAAGGAAAAGTTTACAAGACAGTGGTGAGACCAGCTATGTTGCATGCTCTGGAGACAGAGAGATGGACAAAAAGACAGGAGACAGAACAGGAAGTGGCAGAAATGAGTCAGTTTATTTATTTGTCATTTGAACCAAATGTGGTACATGTGGTGGAACGAAATTGTGCACACATGGTCACATGATGATGTTGAAGTTCTCCTTAGGAGTGACAAGGATGGATAAGATTAGGAATGAGATCATCGGAGGTACAGCACAGGTTGAACAACTAGGAGATAAAGTTAGAGAGACCAGACTGAGTGGCAACACTGGTGGGACATATTGTGTCACTTCCTGTTTGGTAGCTCGAGTGAATTGTTTGCTCGAGTCGTTTCAGTTTTCTGGATTTATCTTTTGCACAGTTTTTCATTCTAGTTCACAAACACACTTAGTACAGTTGTTTCTCTACTGTTGGATCGTGCTTAAAACACCTTTTATCTTTCAACACTTCTCGGTTTTCATTGGTGTATTTGGCTCTGCTAGCTCCTGCTAGCATTAGCTTAGCATGGCTGCTGCTTCTCTCCCTGCTTCCTGTGTTTTCTCTTGCTCCGTGTGTCAGATGTTTAGTTACTCCTCTGCCTCCTTTAGTGGTAATGATACATGTAACAAATGTAGTCTTATGGTAGCTTTGGAGGAGAGGCTGTCTGAACTGGAAGCTCGGCTCCACGCTGTAGAAAAACCAGTAGCTAGCCAGGTCCCCTTAGACAGCACGGAAACACAGAGGCTAGCTCCCGTTAGCGGTCCTCCAGCAGACCCCGAGCAGCCGGGACCCCAGGCTGGCTGGGTGACGGTCCGGAGCAAGTGTAGTGCTAAGGCTAAGCCCCCAGTTCACCACCGACCCGTTCACGTTTCTAATAGATTTTCCTCGCTCAGTGACACACCCGCTGAGAAGCAGACCCTGGTTATTGGAAGCTCCATAGTCAGAAACGTGGCTTTAGGGACTCCAGCGGCCATAGTCAAATGCATTCTGGGGGCCAGAGCGGGCAACATAGAATTTTATCTGAAACTGCTGACTAAGGCTAAGGCTAAATATAGTAAGATTGTTATTCACGTCGGCGGTAATGACACCCGGTTACGCCAATCGGAGGTCACTAAAATTAATGTCAGGATCAGCAACATCCCTAATTAAAAGTAAACAAATGGAAATTGCTGCTGTAATTTATTAAAAAAAAATAAAAATTCAATTCAATTCAGAAATACTTTATTAATCCCAGAGGGAAATTATTTGTTGTTGTAACTCGTTATCCTCATTTCATTAAGAGATGTTATAGATACTGATGCTGTAGACAGGAAGGATCTCTTGTAAAGGTCCATCTCACAGTGGCTCCTAAGAAACTGGCTGCAGATGCCGGCCGATCCGTCCACCCAGACTCGGCTGGCCTCTCAGTTCCCCCGGGCTGTAGGACCGCCCGAATGCTGGGCAGAACTCCTCCCAGAGCGATGGCCACTCCTCCCAGTAGTCTGCCGAGCTTCTCGTCGCTGCGGACAGCCAACTGTAGGTGCTGAGGGACGATCCTGTCCTTCTGCTGTCATGAGTCGTGTTTCCTGCTAGTTCCAGGATCTCAGTGGTCAGGCACTCGAGCACAGCTGGCAGGTAGATGAGAATGCATCCACAGAACATCCTTTTCAACTCATTTGAGATTTGGGGCTGTAGTTGAGATATTATTTGAGCTTTTGAGATGTTAATCAGCTGCTGTTGTTGTAGAAAACAGCCTTGTTGCCATGGTTACGCATCATAACAAATGTCCAAAACTAAAAAAAGTTTCAGTAAAAATCCTTCCAGCTGCACAGCATCTGATACCAGAGGAAACAATCATCCAAAAAATGTGATTTACATCCAGAAAAAGAGGAATTAAAGTTTCCAAAAGCAAAATCTCAGAATGAAACAAGCCATGTAACTTGCTATGATCTCAGGTTTTGAACAGGTGTGATACAAATGACAAAATGACAAAGAACCTTGAATTCTTGAATCTTGTGTGTGGTCATAGTGTGCACATCTGCACATTCAAAACTATGACTGGTTGTTGACTTGAATGTCAGCAGCAAACTGGTTGATCCACTCTGAGAAGGTGCTATTTAAGAGACTGAGCTGAATACAGCACCTCAGACTGAGGAAGTCCTCAGGATGAGAGACGAAACGTTTCTACAATTTTTTGTTTTTTGAACCATCCAGATAACCTGACTGAAATTTTTTTGATTTTTCTCCCGGGATTGTTGAGCATGCATCAGGAATGTTTGAAAGTGACAGTACAATTGTTTTTCATTTCCTGACTGGCATGGAAAATACAGCGAATCAATGTAAACAAATTTTTTTCCCTTGTTTACTGACCATAATAAACAAATAAAAACAACAACACGTGTTTCCAGGGATTGTTCTTGTGTAAACACCGCCTTATTTTTCCTAAAATAAGATGATAGTAAAAATGTTGAGCATCACTCACCCTTTTCCTGTGCCCACTGACACCACCTGCATGTTGAAGCCTCCCCTGCCACGGACAGGTTTGTTCCCTGCCCACTGGCCAACCACCATGCCAGCTATCTCCAGTTTACCTCCTTGAGGAGGGATAGACTGAATGCCTGAAAAACCAGGAAGAGAGAGTAAAATCAGTTTCCAAGAAGAAACGTGGTCCTGAATGATTCTTTAGACCAGCTTTATACATAATAAAAGGTTGCTAATATTTTTCTTGTCACAATTGTTATTGGAGATAAAATGTGTTTGATATAAATAAATAGTCTAATAGATATTGTCATTACACTCTTTAATTGTCCTAATAGCAATGTTTGCACACTTCAGTTAACAACTGTCACAGGTCTAGTTTTTTCTGGATCAAGAGAAAAAAGAATTGTAATCACTGGTATATACACTATACATTCATTTACAAATTCATTGCTAACTTTGTGCCTGTAATTACCATTGGGAACTCTCAGGGCCTTCTACGTCTTCAGAGAAGGGCCAAGAATTCAGCACAAAAGTTATAGAGTTCCCTTTTTTTGTGCCAATTTCTTTTTCCCCCATAAACTATACAGTAGTCCCTCGTTTATCGCAGGTGTTCAGTACCCTGCCCACCTGCGATAAGTGCAAAACCGCGAAGTAGGGATTGTTTATTTGAAATATTACAGTATTTAAATTGTAGAGAAGTGCAGCAGGACATCAAAGAGTTGAGCCTTCATGCAGCTCTGCAGCACGGAGCAGAAATGTATTCTTGATCAATTACACTTAAACAACATAGAAGTTCTAAAATAATAAAAAACACTTATATTTTGTGAATATGATGATTTTACGACGTGCCATATTTTGAATTTTAAGTTGGAAGACAAAAGTCCATCTGTACATCTGGACAGCAAAGGGTTAACCTTTCACGAAGCTGCTTCAGCACGGAGGAGAAATGTGGGCGTGGCAGAGAGTGGAGATCACGAGACAACAGGTAGGAGCTTCTCCCTGCACCTAATGATTTAGCAGGTGCTAAATCATTGGTTACGTACTGTAACCCCACATTTGATGAGTGTAAGCTACGCCCTTTAAAAGCTGTCGCTATTGGGATTAAAGGGCGGAGCAAGATATGGTCCATGCCTCACTGGGTCTGTCCGAGAACCATCAAAAACACCCTGATATCCGCCTAAACCTCTTTCTTTATGCAAGCGTAATGACGCACCATTGATCCATGTACCTGGGGCGTACTGGATTACAGATGTGCAGCGTCTGTGCCTGAATGTTTATTCATATCAGGCAATAGAGGAATAAGAAAAGGAAACATTTCCAACGAGGAAGAAGGAATTTTCCAGTTTGAACGAGTAATCGTAGAAAAGGCCCACTAATAATGACAGAGCAAGGCTGTGTTGTTTTATTGTTTGTTGATTTTATTTTATTTTTTTGTTGTGTGAATGTGAAAAATCACTCTGACATAACTCTGAGAACTGAATGTGTCAGTGAAGAGCTGGAGACATCTCGTAAATAAAAACAGATGAAAGGGATCGGTGATGATCATGAAGCCACAGAGCAGATGTCCTGCACAGACACCCCTCTGTGCAGAGCTGTGGAGGTAGAAATCCCTCTGGTGGGATGAGCCCTGAGTCCTTCAGGTGGTTGAAGGCCAGAAGAACTATAAGCACGTGATATAGTTTCACATAACCAATGTGACAGACGCTGGGAAGATGAAGGCTGACCCTGTGATCGTTCTCTGAAATGTACAAACAATTGATCGGATTTACACATTGCAGCTGTGTGTGTCACATAACACTTGAGTGCACGTACTGGACAGAGCAGGTGAAACTGTTCCTCCTCCGTAGTTTTATGGGGAGGGGGACAGAACCCATCCAGTGTAACGACTCTGGACCTGAACAAACTTGGTATGCTTTTGGGTATAAAAGCAGGGTTTGGTCGGAGTTCTGCTGAGCTCCCGTCTCCTTGAATTCTGAGACAAGAAGGAGCGACGGACAGACCTGACAAGTCGCTCACTCTTTGAGCTGATGTCAGAGCTAATACTAAGGCTGTTTTGAGTGACAGATACTTCAAAGGTATCTGGTCCAGAGGCTCGAACTGATTTTTAGTTAGTGCACTGAGAACGAAGACTAAATCCCACTGTGGGTGCCAGGGCGCGTGTCACTGGCCTGAGCCAGCGCACACCTTTCAGAAACCGTTTTGTTAAAGGGTGACTGAAAACCGTTCCATCGTTGAAACCTTCATGACAGGAAGAGATGTCTTTGGAAAACCCAAATTTTTCTAAGCGTTCTCGTTCAGCTGCCAGACCCAAAAGGGCTGATCTATTATGGGGAGGTTCCTGATTGCTCCTCCCACCTGCAGGAGCGCATCCTCTCTCCTTGGCAACTTCCACGATTGACCCGTCAGCTGTTGCAGAACCGGGAGCCACGACGCGTTCATGCATTGTGGGGCGATCAGTCATTTTCAGATTCTCCTCTCTCACCCTCTCCAACAGTGCTGATATCAGGGGAACTGGAGGGAAGGCATAAATCAGCATCTTTGGCCATGATTTGTGTGCAAACATGTTCACCCCCAGTGGTGGAGCATCCCATGGATTTAGGAAGAGAAAAATGGTGCACTGAGAGTTCTCTCAGGTGGCCATCAGGTCCACTTCCGCTCTCCCGAACCTGCTCCAGATTTGCAAGATTAGATCTAGATCTAGAACAAAACAAGCGCCACTTCAGTGGAGGTTCACCTTCAGTGCTCACTTTTGTCGGCCAGTCAGGAGAGAGAGAAGGATAACTCCTGCGTAAAGCTCTCGCTTTAATTGCAGGTTCGTGTTTTTTGCCCAAGTGTGTGGGACATAAATGTCCCTGTGCTTTTTGGGCATTTTGCCAAACATCTTACTACTCTGTGTTTTCTGACAGTTAACACACACCCCTCAAACTGTAATTTTTTGTACTGCCTCCTCCGCGTGTCTTGCATCTGATTTGGCCACGGGCCAGTCTGTCTGTCTCAGAGAGTCCCAGATCTTGATTGCATCTGGGAAGTTTGTCCTCTGGGGAAGGCTGCTGGGGGACCCACAGAAAAAGTTGCAGCGGCTGTGGAGCGTCTCTGCTGCTGGCGCTGGAACCTGTTCTGTTCTCGCCAGCAGCCAGGTGTCCGAGCAGGGCGGGAATCTGCTCAGGGTAGGGTCACATGTCTCCGCACCTGTCGCAGGGCGTCGGATGAGGACTGCAGCTGGTTCAGGACCGACTGAAAATGAGGTCCCAAGAGGCCATCTGGGGACACAGGACCTTCCAGGAGTTCTTTTTTAACATCCTCTGGGATGGTCGGGGACCGTTTCAACCACATCTGTCTCTGCAGCAACGTTGTCCAGGACGAGATGTGGGCGGAGCACGCTGCAAGCACCACACACAGGTTGGTGATTGTGTCCGCAGCCGTGCCGATCTGGTCCAGATCTGCGGAGAACGGGTTCGGTTCCTTTGCCTCCTTATCTATGCTAAGAGCTAGCATAGTGATGTTGTTGGTTGCGACGAGCACTGATGAATTCTGTCCGTCAGCTTCGTGGTGAGCTGGTCACCGGAGGATGGCAGGATGATACGTCGGCTGACGTATTTCGCTGCTCTTACCCCAAAAACAGATGACAAACTGGGTTCTAGGGGGCTGGTGGGAAAGCCCTGGTCCGTGAGCCCTTTGACTTTGGTGATGGCCGCAAAGGAGGTGACCGGAGCCCTCAGCTTTAAGGGATCGTTGGCTGAACCCAGGAGGGGGGCGGACACAGACAGGAAACAGGGTCACACTGGGTCCTGGTGTCCAATGCGCTGGGCAGCAAACCTTCCCGCCAGAAGGGTTGATGTGGCTGGGGCTGCTGGTTCGGGCACTTCCAGGTCGCAGGCTCTTGCCAACCTCCCGATTATATCCGGGAGCTCGTGGAACAGAGTGGTGGACGACCCCTGAGCGCTCAAGGAGGCGATTATCGAGGGCAACACCGGCTCCAAACCTCCTGTAAGGCAGGATGGAGCGTGGCTGCTAGCTGTTTCAGCTTCAGAGGGGGACGTGTTTGCGAACTCCATGTCCAGGGAGTTAAAACAGTCCTCGAGCGAACAGTCCCTCCTCGGTTGAAACTCTTCCTCCTCAGAGGAAAAGAGCTCACACCGGTGCTACTTCTCCTCAGCCGAAAAAAATTTACAGGCTGGACAAGAGAAGAGCGGATCCAAAGCTTGCCGAGCACGGTCAGCTCCCAGGCAGCTTTCACACACGACGTGCAGGTCCGTTGATAAGATGTAGTCCGTCTGGCACACGGGTCACAGACAGATGGTCTTTGATTTCTTAACTGGTTATCTTTCTTCTTCTTCTTTTCTATTATTCCTTTTTAGGAGTAGTGTTCTTAACGTTGGCTGAAGAAAAACGGGAGTCGAGCTCCGGTCCAGATGCAATTTATAACGGACCAGGTTGGGGCCCACACAGCAGGTGGGCGTAGACTAGAAGTTTTCAGTAGCGACAGTTTTTAAATGGCGTAGCTTACACGAAATAGAACATTTAAAATAATTTATTTTAAATAAACAATCCATGCTGCTCTTTCAGCTCATCCATCAATCAGCCAATTGTGTGTCATGTCCAAACTTACTTTGAAAAACCGTGAAAGAGCGAGTAAGTCGAACCGCGAAGTAGTGAGGGACTACTGTACTTGAACACGAGGCTGAGTCCTATCGCATGCCGGGTAGTTTTGAGACAGAAACGGGTGGACTTTTTCAGGTTATGTGTTCAGATGGGTTGTACTTAACTGAAGGCTTAGCTCATTTAGACACGATTTGCCATTTTATAGTATAATTCCAATTAGTAAAAGCTAATTGTCATGTTTATGTCTTATTTTCCCACCATTGAATTATGTATACGCAAAATCTGCAAGTACGGAGTTATCATGAAGCAAACAGTTTAAAAAATGTAAATGCTTCCTATGGTCTGTAGAAAAATATGTTAATATGTAATGTTAATGTGTGTACCTGGGAAAGCTCTGGGTCTGTGCTGGGCAGGGTGATGTGGATGGTGTGGGTGATGATGAGTAGGCATGCCACCCATAGGGCGGGGTGGGTAGAGGGGCATTGGATAGAAGGGGGGCACCATGGCAGGAGGGAGGAAGGCAGGAGGTGGAAGAGGAGGAGGAGGAGGAGGAGGGCGAGAGAGGTTGATGCTCTCAAGGATTGCCTGACGCATCTTCTCAACCTTTGAAACCAGTTCCTCCTGAAAAAACAAACACATTTATATAAAATACTTTAAATAAAACTGGTGACAAAATGAAAAAACAACAACAAAAAATGTTTGATGTGCATTGTATTAAATGTGGCAGCACAGTGGCGCAGTTGGTAGAGCTGCTGCCTCTCAGCGAGCAGGTTGCCCTCGTTCAAATCCCAGTCCAGGGACCTTTCTGGGTGGATACGCTGGTGAAGATTCTCAGTCATCCAGGACACGGTAAATTCAAAAACGTTTATGAACTTTCTGGGTGGAGTTTGCATGTTCTCTCCGTGCATGCGTGGGTTTTCTCTGGGTATTCCAGTTCCCTCACACAGACCAAAAACATGCACGTTAGGCTAACTGGCAACTCTAATTTGTCCCTAGGTGAGACAGTGAATGGTTGTCTCGTTTGTCTCTGTGTGGCCTTGTGATGGACGGGAGACATGTCCAGGCGTCCCCTGCCTCCTGCAGTGATAGATGGACATGGGCACAGTGACCCCCGCGACCCCAAAAGGAAAAAGCAGGTAAAGATAATGAATGTATTATTACTGTGGATGTGGAGAGTGGTGGCGCAGAGGTTAGAGAAGATGGGCCTGTGATCAGAAAGTCGCAGGTTCAACTCCCGGTACCGTCAACATCAAAATGTGGGTGGAAAAGGGTGAAACACTCACACCTGTCTCCACCCTCATTCTCCCCACTCTGGGGCCCTGAGAAAGGCCCTTAACCCCCACCATCTGCTCCCTAAGCAGGTCTCTCTTGAAAATGAGTTCTTGTGAAATGAAATTATCCACAGTAATGAGTCTACCTGGATAAATACAGGGTCAATGAAAAAAAATTAAATGCGTGTTCAACTTTAAAGCTGCTTCTTCCCTTATATTTAAATGTATAATTCAGTTAGCTTTTTCTCAGGTGATTCAAGTATATACTGAAACACCAGGACAAGAAGGGGGTGCTCTGTTTCATACCTGTCCCTCACACATGTCCAGCAAAGCAGCGCGGTCACGGGCAGCCCGGGCCAGTTTGCTCTGGAATAATTTGCCATCAAAGAAGCCCCAGGGGCAGCAGTGTTCCCATGGCAATGGCTGGCCGCAGACATCATTGATGAATAACGCGGTGTCAACACCAGCCATAAAGAGAGCAGCAAGCTGCACGCCGCGGGCATCCACCTTCTCAACCTGATGGTCAACACAGAAATACAAAATGGCAACATTTACAAACTTGAAACAGAAGCAAGCATCAAAAATACTACACAGTAGTCCCTCGTTTACCGCGGGTGTTTGGGACCACGCCCACCCGTGATAAGTGAAAAACTGCGAAGTAGGGAGACAGTAGTCCAAGTTCAGTTCAGTTCAAGTTCAGTAAACTTTGTCATGACGTGTGCCAGGCTGCAATCACACTTACTTATCACCTGTTACTCCCAATCTCCCGTAACATTTTAAATAAACAATCCACGCAGCACAAATTGTTTATTTAAAATGTTACAGTATTTAAATTTAAATTGTAGAGAAGTGCAGCAGGACAGCAAAGGGATGTCACACAGCTTCAGCTCTGCAGCACGGAGCACAAATGTACAGGTCCTTCTCAATAAATTAGCAAATTGGGATTGGGGGCCGAGATGGTGTACACGCCGAATTTGAATGAACTCCTCCTAGGGATTTCGCTCAATCGTTTTCAAACTTTCGCCATTTTGCTCAGTAGGCATGGGGGACCAAAAGTTATCAAAACGGTGCAAACCGACGTATGTTGAGGGGGCGGGGCTGGACCTCAAAATTTTGCTTCACGCCAAAAATTTCCAAACGCTACAACGTTCACGTTGAAAAACAGAATTGTACCAAATTTGGCAAGAGTCATCCCTGTCCCATGCCCGACGATACCCTGAGGTCAAATTTTGACTTCATCAAAGCCCCGCCCCCTCAGAACAGGAAGTGACTTTTTTTTGCTTGGAATGCTCCTTCCCTGACACTCTTGACCCAATCAGGATGATCCTGTGTTAGAAGGCAGATAACAAGTTGGTCTGACTTGCTTTGAAGCGCAAAGCGTTTCAGCTGGAGGATGTGGGCGTGGCGAATTCAGAAGTGACGCCGTGACAATATGTTTGGCCCTAAATTCCACAGATTTGATCCGAGGTTCATGAAAATCACTATGATCTATCATTGCCCGCCCCTTGAACAGGAAACCATGATAATTGCGCAATAGCCTCTATAGCGCCCCCTAGAATATTTTAAAACCTCAGCCCCAAGCCATTTTTCGACCGATAGTTCTGAAACTCGGTAAACATGTGTATCTTCTCAGGACCTATGAAAAAGTCTCTTGGCGCTCCGGTCCAAACTCAACAGGAAGTCGGCCATTTTGGGTCAAAGGTTAATTTTGGGGCGTTTTTAATGGCGAATTTTAACGAACTCCTCCTAGGGATTTTGAAGGATTGCCTTCAAACTTGGTTAATAGGCCTTTAAGACATTGGAGAGTAAAAGTTATCAAAAGCTTTCGGTTTCATTTTGTTAAAGGGGCGTGGCCAGGCCTCAAAGTTGAGCTTCACGCCATAAATTTCCAAACGTTACAACTTTCAACTTGAAAGACAGAATTGTACCAAATTTGGCACGACTCATCCCTGTCCCATGCCCGACGATACCCTGAGGTCAAATTTTGACTTCATCAAAGCCCCGCCCCCTCAGTACAGGAAGTGACTTTTTTTTAATTGGAATGGTCCTTCTTTGACACCCTTCACATAATCAGGATGATCCTGTGTTAGAAGACAGATAAGATGGTCTGACTTGATTTAAACAACAAAACAGTTATAGCTGGAGAATGTGGGCGTGGCGCCATGGCGAATTAAAAAGTGATGCCGTTGCAATACGTTTGGCTCTAAATTGCACAGATTTGAGCCCAGGTGCACCAAAATCACTATGATTGATCATTATCCACCTTTGAACAGGTTTCCATGATAAGTGGCCAAGAGCCTCCACAGCACCACCTACATTCTTCTTAGTTATATCTCAGTGATACAACATCCGATCTGAACCAGAATTTTGGTGCGTCATTACTGAGAGCTGATGGACATTTTAGTTTTGTTGTTTAATATTTGACTCAAGTGCGCCCCCTACATTATTCAAACTGTTTTGTCTCAGTGATATATCAGCCGATCTGCACCAAATTTATGGTGTATTATTATTTAGCCCTGGTGGACACAGTAGTATGTTTTTTAAATTTTGACTCTAGAGCGCCGCCTACAATATTCCAACAGTTATATCTCAATGATATATCATCCGATCTGCACCAGATTTTTATGGCATAATGTGTGACCATGTCTACACACAATGTTATTGTTGTTTAAAATTTGACTCAAGTGCGCCCCCTAGATTATTCAAACTGTTATATCTCAGTGATATGTCATCCGATCTGGACCAGATTTTTGGTGTGTGATTAGTGAGCACTTAAACACACAATGGTATTGTTGTTTTACTTTTGACTCAAGTGCACCCCCTAGATAAATCAAACTGTTATATCTCAGTGATATATCGTGCGATCTACATCAGATTTTTGGTACTTGACTAGTGAGGACTTATGGACACAGTGGTGTTGTTGTTTAATATTTGACTCAAGTGCGCTCCCTAGATAATTCAAACTTTTAAATCTCAGTGATATATCGTCCGATCTGCACCAGATTTTTGGTGCTTGACTAGTGAGGACTTATGGACACAGTGGTGGTGGTGTTTAATATTTGACACAAGTAAGCCCCCTACATTATTACAATAGTTATATATGCGGTCGCAGCTTATGTCAAAGGTTCGGCGAATGCGCACTCCGGAGAACGGGCGCGTGACGGTAGCGTGAGCGTTCTCGAAGGCGACCGGGAAGAGTCGCTGGAGTTCCCGCGGTCGCCGTAAGGCCGCAGCGGCGCTTCGCTGCGAGGGCCTTCAACGCTACTTGCAGCTTTAATTATTATTATTATAATGGTCATTATTTTCCATAATGTAATGATAAAAATGAAACTTTCATATA